CTCCTCCTCCCCCCTCTCTCTCTCTACCCCTCCCGCCTCTCTCTCTCTCCTCCCCCCCTCTCCCTATCTCTGTATCTACGAAAAATTCCCATTTATCAACGCCTTTGATATGCATAATAACACCGCGCTTAATTTATCCCACGCGTTTCGAGTCTTTGATTCAAGCTTAACCTCGTCTTTCTCTGAAAAGCTTTTGAGCTACGTTACCTCGTGTGACCTCAACTCCATTTCGAAAGCGTTTATAAGTTTCTGTAATCTAAAAGGCTTCCGAAGCACTGCTTTTAAAAGTATATTCAAGAGGAAGGGTTGGTCTATCGGCTGTAGAAAAAAATGTATATGAAATGAATTAATTAGTAATTGTTTTTTGTTTTGGTAACATGTGTTTGGGTTTAATTTAATGGCGATATATCTTCGGGCGCAGTATGTTCCTACTACGTGAACATGAGTTTGATTGCTCTCTCTTTCTCTCTCTCTTTCCCTTTCCTCTTCTCTGCTCTCTTCTTTCTCTTTCTCTGTCTCTATCTCTGCCTCTCTCTCTCTCTTTCTTTCCCGCTTCCTCCCTCTCTCTCTCTCTCTCTCTCTCTCTCTCTCTCTCTCTCTCTCTCTCTCTCTCGCTCTCTCTCTCTTTCTCTCTCTCTCTCTCTTCTCTCTTCTCTCTCTCTCTCTCTTCTCTCTTCTCTCTCTCTCTCTCTTTCTCTCTTTCTCTCTCTCTCTCTCTATTCCTCACCCTATCCCTCCCTTCCTTTCTTCCATTCTAGACATTTTTGCCTCTCTCCCTCCATCTCTCTTTTCTTCCCTTCTTCTCCTCCTTCTTTTTCCTCTTCTTCTTCATCTAATTCTCTCTCACGTTTTATTACCACTGCTTCCCTACCCCCGATTACGTAAAGAATTAAGGGTAATAAAATTTTAAAGCTTAAAATTAACGGCATTTGTTAATGGATACATGCTTGTCATATAATATATGTCATATGTGTGTGTGCGTGTGCGTGTGCGTGTGCGTGTGCGTGTGTGTGTGTGTGTGCGTGTGTATGTGTGTGTGTGTGTGTGTGTGTGTGTGTGTGTGTGTGTGTGTGTGTGTGTGTGTGTGTGTGTGTGTGTGTGTGTGTGCGCGTGTGTACATACATACATACATACATATATATATATATATATATATATATATATATATATATATACACATATATATATATATATATGTATATATATATATACATATATATATATATATATATATATATATATATATATATATATATGCAAAACACATATTTGTAGATATGACACCCACACTATTCCTCTATACAAGAGAATTTCGAAATCCCCCCCCCCCCTCCCGTCTCACTCGCCACTCTTGATTCCACAAATCCCAACCAGTACACCATCATCCACCATCGCCACACGGAAACACTCGCAGACAAAGACAGTGCAGGCTGGGGAGAGACAAGAGCGCTGCACAAACAACTTGCAAATCAGATCCTTATCACGTTGCTTTGTTATCGGCAACAATACCACGCGCGAGATAGAGATGGGAGATAAACCTACGGGATCGAATCACCATGTTTCGCGTCGCTGATGGTGTGTGTTGCATTTTCATTCACCAGAAAGGAAAGGGAATAGGTATTGCGCACTAGTAAGTGAGCTCCGTCTGTCACTGTGGTATTATATTCATGGAATACAGGCATTTATTTCATAAATGTAGACAGATGAGTAAATAGATAAATAAAAATATGCATGCAAAGAAGCATACATACATACATATTTACGCACACACACACACACACACATGTGTGTGTGTGTGTGTGTGTGTGTGTGTGTGTGTGTGTGTGTGTGTGTGTGTGTGTGTGTGTGTGTGTATGTATATATATATATATATATATATATATATATATATATATATATATATATATATATATATGCACTTATATATATAAATACATATACTTATATCTATATACATATATATAATATTATATGTATATGTATATATATATATTTATATATACACATACATATTTGTGTGTATATGTATATATGTATATGCATCTATATGTGTATATATATATATATATATATATATATATATATATATATATATATATATATATATATATATGCATATATATATATATATATATATATATATATATATATATATATATATATATATATATATATATATAAGTATGTATGTAATTATATGTACACACGTGTGTACTTATAATACGGGTTCCATCAAAGCAGCAAGACGACTAGAAGGAACGAGTGACAGCCCCAGCCAATGCAAGATTACGATGCACTGCCCAAAGAAATAAACACCTGAAACTGAAGGCTGAATGGCAAAATGACGTCCACCATCAATCACAGTTAAAGAGAAGGCTCCGTGCACGCTGTCCTTCCTGCCTTTTGTGCCACTCCGAGAATAAGCAGGAGAACGCACACACGCACACACACACACACGCACACGCACATACAGACACACACATACACGCACACACACACACTCACACATACATAGAATCAGACAAGAGGAAGACAGAAAATAGGGAGACTTGGTTACAATAGGCAAGTAGATAGACACAAATACACGAACAGAGAGAACGAAAGCCAGGCAGACAGAAAAGAAAGGAAACTGGGAACCAATAGGTAGGTAGACAGACAAACAGAAGATTAGGAGAAAGCGCAGGGATGATAAATGAAATCAAAGAGAGATAGGAAGACAAACAAACATAGACTTACAAGAGAAAAAAAAAACATTAAGACCGACTTCAAACAGCCTGACAAACAAAGAGACAAAGAATCGAGAAAAGAAGCAAGTACAAGAAACGACGACAGGAAGACAGGCAGGGAAACAGACAAACAAAGAGACAGACATACAAAGCGATAAAAGACTCTAAGAGGGAATCCAAACAACCCAGACAAGGGCATTAAACAAGTAGGAAAGGAGAAAGGAATTCAAACTGGCAGACAGAAGACAGGCAGACAGGGCATCAGACAGACAAGTGCTGAAGAAAGGAAGGTAGACAGACGAGCAAGCAGACAGACACCGAAAGAAACGGCAGACAAGCAGCGAAAGGAAGACAGACAGACGACAGGCAAGCGGGCAAGGAGACAGGCGGTGTTGTGTGATCCCAGGTGCGTGAGGCAAGCAGATCAAGTCCTCGCCCTGATTGGCACCGCCATTGTGCCCGCATTAAGGTGACGGAGATTAAGCTTTTCGGTGAAGTGAAGGGAGCCGGAAGTGCCAGAGGTCGCCTCTTCTCTTTCTCTCTCTCTCTTTTTCTTTTTCTTTTTCTTTTTCTTTTTCTTTTTCTCTTTCTCTCTCTTTCTCACTCTCCTCTTCTTCTTCGTTTTCCTTTCCTTTCTCCTCCTTTCCTACGTTTCTTTCACTCCTCTTCCTATCCCTCCCCCTTTATTTTTTTTAACTTAATATCTCAGATTTCTCTCTTCTCTCTCCACCTATCCCTCGTCTTTCCTTCCTCATAGCCCCCCCCCCCCCCGCCAAACAAAAAAGAAAAAGAAATAAGTAAAACACACACACGAAAAACGAAAAAAATGGAAAACACACACACACAAAGAAAACGAAACAGAGAAACACACACACACACACACACACACACACACAAAGAAAACGAAACATAGACGCATACAAAATAATACTAATACTACTAATGATAAAACAAAAATCAAAACAAACATCAGTCCACATACGAAACTCATCAACAACACACGAACGGCTATTTCAGCATCCATAATAACCCGGAAGTGCTGGAACGTCCGAGTGTCCTGTCACTGTCAAGCACAAGACTGACTCCATTTCACATAACTGATTACCTTCGAAGATTTAATTTGGCCACTACGATGCGTCCATTATTCCAGATATATTGCGACAGATGTGGAATGACGTAATGGTAATGGTTGAATTCAGTGCATATGTTGAATTGAATATATGGTATGCTAAGAATGTAGTTATGGTAAAATGAATGAGGATGTATGGTATTCTAAACTTTTAGGGTGTAAATATGTATCTGAAAGCACAAATACACATGCATACACACATACATTCACATGCACTCACACGCGCACACACAAACAAACAAACACACACTCACACACACAGACACACATACACACACTTACACAAACACATACATACATACACGCACGCACACACACACACACACACACACACACACACACACACACACACACACACACACACGCACGCCCCCCCCCCCCACATAAATACATATACCCAAGTGGATTCTCTGAACTGAATTCTAATCACATAACCAACATGCCCCTTATATTATATCTGTAATATTTCAGAACATACTTTCCTGGTATACTATTAAGAAATTATGAACAAGAGTGAACACTGACTGATATTTCGACTGAAAACTCAGAGTCCTCTTAATTTTGAACAATAATATAAATGATATACCACGAGCAGACTGCCAACTACGACATTCATACATAAGATGGTAATGATCATACTTTAATGTTCTAAAGGCAAAATAGAAAGAAAATAATAGCAAGACATATAACATAATGACAGTAATGAATGATTATGATAATAATAGTGATAATAATAATAATTATTATAATATTGATGATAATAACAATGATATTAATATTGGTAATAATGATGATGATGATGGTACTAACAATAACAATAATAATGATAATAGAATAATAATAATAATCATAATAATAATAATAACAACAAAAATAATAACGACGACAACAAAAACTAAACAACAACGATGGCGAAAATGTCTGTGATAATGATAATAATAATAATTATGATGATGATGATGATGGTGATGAAAAAGAATAAGATGAAAAAGAACGAGCATACAAATAAATACATGAATAAACGACAACAATATCAACAACCAAAATAATACTAACCATAATAGCAGCTATGGAATCTATAACAATAACAACACCAAAGCTAACAAAAATGCTAATAAAAACAACAATAAAATCCTGAGACTCACCCGCAAGCAGCGTACTGGCGTCGGGGAGGAGGGAGGCCGGTGGGAACAGCCCCTTCCTGCCTGAAACATAATTCCATATTGCATTAGAGAGAAACGAAAGGAACATTCAAATATGGTATATATTTGGAAGGTCTGTTGGCTTTAATTCCAGTCAAGGGGGAAATAAAGCAGTATTTCTCGTATGATTTTGGTTACCATAAACGCTATAAATATTTAGATGTTCTCTTTTGGGATTTCGTTTGAGTCGAGGGGAATTAGAGCAGAATCTTCATACGACGCATTCTAAGTTCTCTTTTTGAGATATTTTTTGTGTGATTAATTTCGAGTTTTCTTTTTTTTTTATTATTCTATGAAACTAAATGTGAATAGACTTGCTAATGAATATGATTATAATGAACCAAGCTATTCAGTAATGGAGAAGGAGAGCATTAGTGAAAATGAAATGGAAGTATATCTAAACCGAAGTCATTTCAGGCTATTATTTTATTTCTCATTTTATCTTATATCTATCATCATCTTTTTTTTATATACACAAAGCACTGACGCGACTTTATTTATCTATTTACCTTATCATATATTCCTTTATTCTACTCAAGTGAACTTCTCCAGCATACAAATAAACAAATAAATAAACGATGAAAGTAATAGTATAAAGAAAAAATAAAGAAAAAAGTAAAAAAAATATATATTTATAATGATTTATAATACATATCATTTTTATTTTTACATACATACTCTCTCCATAAAATCAATCTTAGCGAGGGAAGCCAACCATCAGCTCCACAATATTATTATTAATATAATATTATAAATAAGTCAGCCAGGAAGGTACGAAAAAATGAAATGTAATTCAGAGCTTCTCCATTTACCTTTCCTGGTTAATTTATTCGCGTCTGAAATCATATTTTCATATACTTCTACGTGTGCGTTTGTTTCTGTGCATTTCTGCGTATGTGTATGTGCGCGCGCGTGTGTGTGTGAACAAGTTAGTGTGTGATTGAATGCATGTATGTGTGTGTGTATGTGTGTGTGTGTGTGTGTGTGTGTGTGTGTGTGTGTGTGTGGGTGTGTGTGTATGTGTGTGTGTGTGTGTGTGTGTGTGCGTGTGTGTGTGTGTGTGTGTGTGTGTGTGTGTGTGTGTGTGTGTGTGTGTGAGAGAGAGAGAGAGAGAGAGAGAGAGAGAGAGAGAGAGAGAGAGAGAGAGAGAAGGAGAGAGAGAGAGAGAGTGAATTAGTTAATGAATGAGTAAGTAAGTGAATGAGTGAGTTAGTGTATATATGTGTGTCTGTATTAGGGTATGTATATATCAATGCGTGTGTGTGTGTGTGTTTGTGTGTTTGTGTATGCGTGCGTACCTCTGTATGTGAAGATATGTGACTTACTATGTTAAAGCTGAATTACAAACACACGAACAAATCAACCCCGCAAAATACACAAAACATCAACAACCTAACCGAAAAAATATATATATTCAAAACTCCGCGTACCTGAAAATCAGAACAAAGACAAACTCGCAAGAAAATACCCGAGTGTTGACAAGAGGTCAAAGTTCAAGACAAAATGCCCCCGGGCGAAACACTGGCGTATGCGTCTATGCCCTGGGCAACGGGGCATAACGGTCTAATTGTTCACCGAAGCAACGTCTCCCCCCCCCCCTTCACCCCCTCCCCCCCTCCCCCCCGCCTTCCTTTCGTCGCCTTTCTCACCTGGACGCCTTTCTTCGCGCTCCCGGAGGCAGAGGAAGCTGGTAGAAAATGAGTTAAAAAGGATAATGTGCTTGCACACACGCAGATATGTATATGTATGTGTATATGTGCGATATATGTGTGTGTGTGTGTGTGTGTGTGTGTGTGTTTATGTGTTATACATACACATACAAACACACACACACACACACACACACACACACACACACACACACACACACACATATATATATATATATATATATATATATATATATATATATATATATATGACATAAACACAAACACAATAACGTGTACACTAAGATGAAAAGGAAAACAGCCACATTAAGATGTGAAAATCAATCGCGACATTTCGAACCTTCACGAGTTCCCTTTCAGACGAATAATAAACCAAAATGGATCATATATATCTATCTATATATCTATATCTATATCTATATCTATCTATCTATATCTATCTATCTATCTATATATATATATATATATATATATATATATATAATGATCCATTTTGGTTTATTATTCGTTTTTGGTTTATCATATATACATATATATATTATATATAATATATATTACATATATAATATAGATACATATACATATCTCTCTCTCTCTCTCTCTCTATATATATATATATATCATACATTATATATGTGTATATATACATATATATATATATATATATATATATATATATATATATATATATATATATATATATGACAAACAAGTACCATTTAATTAAAAAGCAGGACCCGGAGCTTCACCCAACGAGCACTGCCATTCCCCGGCCGCCACCCTAGCAAAGAGCAGATCGGTCACACCTTATGGCTTCTACACCTTTAGCAAGGCGGCCTAACACTAAATTTTTAAACACTGGGTCTAATGTATCTCTTCTGTTGCGTGGGTTGGGTGGATAGGTGGATAGTTGGATGGGTGGATGGTCGTGTTTGTGTGGATGGCTTTTTAGATTGAAATACAGACGATCATGTGGATGAATGAGTGGTTTACTGGTGGGAAGATGGATGGATAGGTGATAGTATAGATAGCAAGAGAAACGTGGGTGGATACGTGGATAGCTGAAAGGATAGGGAAAGAACGTGGATAAATATGTAATTAGGCTTAATGGAATATACCAATGGCGGACTGTGTGGATGCATGTCCCGAGTTGGGGAAGGATAGAAGGGTAGATAAAGAGGATGGAAAGGTTAGTAAGTGTGGATGTTATTTTTTGTTATTTTTTATAAAAACAGACATTGCCTTTGCGTTCATAACGAAAAGTTATCATTAATCAGTTTTGAGAGAATGGCATAGTAATGCAAGTATTCATAATGGTATTGAAAATTAACATCCATTCGTAAGAGGTCTGTGTTGATGAAAATATAATTTACTGACAGCTCAGCGTAGTAGAAAAAAAAAAAAACTTTGTACCCTTTATCAGTCATACAGCATATGTTATCCTTTATAAAAATAAAAAACAAGGGATTTCATTTATCTCGGTTTCAACCATCATACCTTGTAAACGTTTATATGTATTTAAGTAAACATATGCTTGTAGAAATATATAGGTATTTAAGAGTTTTTTTCTGTAACTGAACTCACTCGAATTAACAGCTCTGCAAACAGTGGCGTATCGAGCACTCACGAAAGCAGAGACCTATATCGGGAAAAGCACTTGAAGTTCGTGGGGAAACATACGAACAATGTCAACACATTTTTGCTTTATCTTTTTTCCTAAATTTCGGTCATCTCTAGTTTATTCATTCACATTAACTAAGGAAATTATATATTTATTTTCAATTCTCGGGAATGTTATCGTATAGTGCCATAAAATGTTGTTTTCCCTCTATCTTCTATCAATTCTAGACAGTTATTTAACTAATGGAATAAAATCTATCAGGAACGTTAAACGAACAGTGTCATAAAAAATTTGTTTATTCCTCATAGATTCTGCCATTTCTACATACAGTTATTCCGTCACACTAAGAGTATAATAACTGTCCTAACATAAACAATTCTCCATAGAAGTATCTAACAGAAACCAACGTATCCAAAGAACGCGAAGGCGCAGCAGACATTATAGAAAGCACAGCTGTTGATCTGCTGAATACGCGATTTAACCGCACGCAAAAGCCGTCTTTGTCGATATGGCCGTCATAAACTTTTCTTTTATTGCCAAAATCTCTCCGATAGCTCCACGTGCCCTCTTTTTGCGGTATAATCCTTCCAAAAAGAATGGGGAGGAAAAAAAAAGGTCTGGTCAGAAACACCTGCTACAACGGGAAAAATGACTCGCCGAGCAAAACAAACTCATCACTTGCTCCATCGATGCATTTGCCGTCCCAGCGTGATTAGGCTACGTATTACCGTTACAGTGGGTAAAGTAGATAGATAGCTAGACGAAGAGATAGAAAGATAGACAGAAACATAGATAGATAGATAGATAGATAGATAGATAGATAGATAGAGAGAGAGAGAGGGGAAGAGGGTGTATCTCTCTCTCTCTCTCACACACACACACACACACACACACACACACACACACACACACACACACACACACACAACGAAAGAGAGACGGAGGGAGGGAGAGAGAGAGAGCGAGAGAGAGAGAGAGAGAGAGAGAGAGAGAGAGAGAGAGAGAGAGAGAGAGAGAGAGAGAGAGAGAGAGAGAGAGAAAGAAAGAAAATGGAAAGGTAAAGGCAAAAAGGACGGGGCGAAAGGAAGAGCCAAATCACATGCAAGAGGGAAGAAGTGGAGGGAAAGAGAGAGCGGAAAAAGTGAGAAAGAGCGATGGACGGAGGGGGAGGTAATGGTACTTTAAACCCGAAGAGCTGTATCCATGGTCCAACAGGTGTCCCTCGCTTGGAATTAGCCAATAAAGCAACACTTCTGCTTTTAGGTGTAATGGCACATCTCTGTGGAGCTTACTGACAGGTATATAATCTCTGTCCGTCTGTCTGCCTTTCTCTCTCTTCTCTCTCTCTCTCTCCATTTTCCTGTAATCCTCTCTGCCTGTGTATTTTTGTCAACATCTGTCTGTTTGTTTATCTGTCTATATGTCTACCTGCTTTCTTTCTTTCAGTCTGATTAATTGTCTATCTGTCTTTGCTCCTCCTCTCTATCTTTCTCTCCCTCCCTCCCTCCCCCAAGCACACCTCCAGCAACCAAACCACGCAACACGCTATTCCGAACGAATCAAATCTATTCCGTTAGAAAGCGCTGGTTTTCCCTTCCCTAACTGCCACTACTATTGGAAAGAGACCTGTTACCGGAGGGAGTTCTGCTTATCCAATCACACTAACTGAATTAGCGTTGTAAGGTCTTCATTTCCACGGCGCACTGTTTCCA